GGTGTGATTAATACTATACCAAGCCCGGACCCTCTTACGTTGGAAGCTCCATCCGTAAATAAGGTCCAAACCCCCGATGTCGATCCCGACACCATTGCTGCCTTTTTGGTTGCCGGAGGCAGCAATCCCACACTAAAATCGGTCACAAAGTCAGCCAAGAATTGTGAATTAATTGCAGTCCTTGGTTTATATTCTATGTCGAACTCACTCATTGCGATGGCCCATTTGGCCAATCTACCAGAGAGCTCAGGTTTGTGAAGGATGTTCCGCAAAGGGAAAGTGGCCACCACGACTATCGGGTGACATTGGAAGTAGGGCCCCAGCTTTCGAGCGGCGACTACGAGAGCTAAGGCCAGTTTCTCCAAATGGGGATAACGAGTTTCTACTCCCGTTAAAATCTTACTAACGTAATAAATGAGAGAATGCGTACCTTCGTCCTCACAGACTAAAATTGCACTTACTGCGACTTCCGAGACCGTGAGGTAGACTAACCACGTTTCACCTTCTTTTGGTTTCGAAAGCAACGGAGGGCTTGACAAGTACTTTTTCAAATCTCTCAAAGCCTGCTGGCACTTCGGGGTCCATTCTAAATTATTTTTCTTTTTAAGCAGTGCGAAGAAACAGTGACATTTTTCTGATGATCGGGAAATGAACCTGCTCAAAGCTGCCAATCTTCCCGTGAGCCTTTGGGCTTCCTTCACACTTTACAATTGGTCTGGGATATCTTCGATGGCCTTGATCTTATCGGGGTTTACCTCAATTCCCCTTTGCGATAGTAGAAATCCCAGAAACTTACCAGATCTGACCCCGAACACGCATTTCTCGGGGTTAAGTTTCATAATATGCTTTCTTAGGATGTCAAAAGTTTCTTGCAGATGTTTAAGGTGATCACCTGCATTTAAAGACTTAACGAGCATATCGTCTATATAAACTTCCATAGTTTTTCCTATTTATTTTTCAAACATCTTATTCATGAGATGTTGATAAGTGGATCCAGCATTTCTCAACCCGAAGGGCATCATATTATAGCAATATGTACCGAAATTTGTTATAAACGAAGTCTTTTCCTGATCCTCCGAGTTCATCTTAATGTGATTGTACCCGGAATAAGCATCGAGGAAACTCGTGCCCGGCCGTAGCATCAATAATTTGATCGATTTTTGATAGTGGGAACGAGTCTTTCGGGCACGCCTTATTCAAATCTTTTTAATCTACACACATGTAGAATTTATTATTCTTCTTAGGAACTACTACTACATTAGCTAGCCAGTCTGGATACTTTACCTCTCGGATCGAACCGATATTAAGTAAGCGAGTTACCTCTTCCTTGGCGAATTTATTCCTGGCTTCGGCAATAGGGCGTTTCTTTTGTCTTACCGGAGGTAAGTTGGGATCCAAACTTAACTTGTGTACGTCTACCTCCGTAGGGATACCTGTCATATCCGCATGCGACCATGCAAAATAATCAGCATTATATTTATGAAATTTAATAAAGCCAGACATGAGCTCGGAATGCAGTCCTGTTCCCATGTGGAATTTCCTTTTTATGAATTCTTCAAACAATGCAACTTGCTCAAGCTCTTCCACTGTGGATTTCGTTGCATCCGTCTCTTCTGAAACCTAGAAATATCTCGGCACCTGATAAAATTCCGACATTTCTGCCCCCGGACTGACTTCATATAGTTCGGGAGCGGGCGTCGGTTCCTGTAATTGCTATGCCGCGTGTTCCTTTCCTTTGCTACTAGAGATCGAAATTGCATTCATCTCCCTTGCTGCCGGTTGGTCACCCCTTATCTTCTTAACTCCTTCGGGTGTTGGAAACTTTAACAATTGATGATATATTGATGGTACAACTTTCATTTCGTGCAACCACGACCTTCCCATAATAATGTTATATCCCATATCACTATCTACCACTTCGAAAAGAGTTGTTTTCGTTACTCCTTCGGCGTTTGTGAGTAACAAAATCTCTCCCCTGGTTGTCACGCTCGCAGGGTTGAATCCGGCGAGGAGTTTTATGACCGAAATGATGCTTTCAGTGAGTTTAGCTTGCTCCAATACTCTTCATTGTATAATATTTGCCGAACTTCCTGGATCCACTTGAACACGTTTAATCTTAAAATCTAGCATATTTAAAGAAATTACCAGTGCGTCGTTGTGCGACAGCAACAATCCATCTGCGTCCTCCTCTGTGAAAGTTATACCGTCTTCGGCGACTTCCCGGAGCCTTTTGCTATGGGTTATTGACACTTTGTCTTTTTTGCTGCCGAAAAGTTGACCATGTTGATCTCGTTCCCCCCGAAGATCATGTTGATCGTTTGGTGCGGGGGATCTTCTCCCGCTTTCGAGGGTTCCACATTTTCCCGGTTACGACCATAATTGTTCTTAGCTCGGTCACTCAAGAATTCTCTGAGATGACCATTCTTCAACACTGTTGCCACTTCTTCCCGGAGGTACAGGCAATCCCCTGTATGGTGGCCATTCGTCCCGTGATATTCATACCACAAGTTGGGATCCCTCTGGCTAGGATCAGATCTCACTGGTTTCGGGAACCGTGCCTCTTTGATATTTCTCATGGCTTACACCAACTCCACTCTACTGACATTGAAATTGTATTCTAACAGTTTGGGGTAGGAAGGATCCCGCTCCCCTGGCACTTCTTTATCCTGCAATGATCTATTGTTCCGACCGCAATCAGTCCTTCTGTCGATGGCGAACCTGTCCGCCGATCGGAAGCCTCTGTCGCGGCATTCGGTCCATTTGTAGGGCAAAAGTCGGTCCCTCGAAGACCGTCTGTCCGTGTCGAAATCGTCTTTTGATTTTTCTCTGTTCTTTTTCCGTCCTTTTGTCGACGATGGAAAGCCAACCTGATCATATTCGATCCTTATCTTTGATTCGTACCGGTTGTGGACATCTGCCCAAGTCATTGGTTGAAACTCAAGAAGGCTTTCCTTCAATTTACAAGAAGCGTCTGAACTTCTCGGATTCAGTCCCTTAGTGAATACTCCAGTCGCCCATTCATCTGGGACAGCCGTGAGCAACATTCTCTCCTTCTGGAATCGGGTAACGAACTCTTGTAGCAACTCGGATTCTCCTTGCGCAATCCTGAATATGTCGGCCTTTCGGGCCAGTTACTTTTCTGGCCCCGGCATGAGCCTTGATGAAAGAGTCTGCGAGCATCTCAAAGGAGTCTATGGAATGCTCGGGTAATAGTGAATACCACGTCAAGGTTTCCCTCGTGAGAGTATCTCCAAATTTCTTCAGCAAAACTGATTCAATTTCGTGAGAAGCTAAATCATTTCCCTTCACCGTCGTTGTATAGGTGGTAATATGCTCCTGAGGATCTGAAGTTCTGTCATACTTTGGCACACCAGGCATTTTAAACCACTTCGGGAATAGTTCTGGTGTCGCACTTGGCTTGTATGGCAATTGAGTATACTTCTTTGAGTCCGGACCTTTCAGCACCGCTGATGCGCCCGGAATTTGATCTATGCGGGCATTCACTTCCCTTATAAACTGTAAAAGTTTATTTTTGAAGGGATCATTTTCGTTATTGGGGTCGGATCCACTCCTCCCAGCCCCATCGGAGCCAACTTTGCCAATCGGGGTATTGTTGTCGACCCTTTACGTTGTTTGATTCGCGGGAGCGCCGGGAGGAACTGGATCTCGTCTATTCGCATTATTCGAAGCCCCCGACAACGCCTGGTTCAACTCCATCATAACCTTATCTTGTCACATTAGGTGGTCTAGAATGATCGCATGTTGTTCTTGTAGGACCCTTACCGCGTCAACGACATGTTCCTTCTCAGCATCGTCAGGAGTTGTCTCCCGAACATGTCGAGGATATTGCCTGTCATGCATCGACGTGGCTTCATTCCCCTCGTTGTGGGTGTCACTGATTGAGTCCTCGAAATGAGGTTGATCCCCTCGAACCTCGGGATTGTGCGTGTTGTTAACACTGTTATCTACCATTTCTTATGATTTCTTCTAAGACAAAATAATCAAAACATGTTAGTAAAAAAGACAAGGATCAACTTAATTGCACGGCTGTCTAAAGTACGCCACCAGAATTATTAAAGCGTGCTGCCAGAATTTGAAGTGTGCTACCAGAATTGAAAATTCTAACAGAGTGCTTTAAAATTCTAGTAGCGAACTTAAAATTTCTATTGCAAGATTAAACTATCAAAAAAAATATTAACGGGATCAAAATATTATCGGTGATTCTAAAGAGGCCTATATGGTGTAATTTCCTGGGTAAGATAAGAGAGAATTGTTAGGAGGTGTGCAGATAAATTTTAAAGCAAATCCCAACTCCAAATTCTTGAATTTTTGTAACTAAATTTGTATAGTTTCAAATTATAACAACATTTAAATCACAAAATGTAACATAAAATGAATTCTAAAAAAGTTTTTATTAACGTAAAAAATTTGTCTAACTTCAAATAATAATAACAATAATAATGTTATATAAGTTTTTAGTACTTCATTTATTAAGTCATTTATTGATCTTTTTAGTATTACAGTTCTAAAGGATTTTCTTATGTACCTAAGTTTTGGTGGATGAAATTACAAATAGATTATCTACAACAATCATCATCTATAACAAAATTTTACTATAACAGTCAAGTTTTATATGGTATATATTTTTTATGTTATGTTATATCATATTTTCTTATAATAATATTTTATTATAGTAGCCAAATTATACCGAATAAACAACTACTATATCATATTGCTGATGGGAGGTCGCGATGGAGTTAGTAAGAGGGAAGGATTATTATGCAAATAAGACAAAAGTTTTTTATTAATATACTTTTTATAGTAAAAAAAATTCTAGTACAAATAAAGGTTATAAAATAAATTGTAGTTCGAAAAACATTCCTAGTCCTAATTATCAACGGTTTTTTGTACTACTCTTCGTCTCCGAACATTCCAGAATCTTAACAACCACGCCTAGAACCCTCTTTTCACCCCCACCCCCTTCTTTAAATCCCCTCCCCTTCCCCTACACTACGCAAATTCTCTAAAACATACTCACCGGAAAAAAGAAAAAGAAGAAGCAAAAACAATGGCCGACGAAGCAAAGGCCAAAGGCAATTCAGCATTCGCCGCCGGTAACTTTTCAGACGCCGTCCGCCACTTCACTGAAGCGATTAATCTCTCTCCTGCAAATCACGTTTTATATTCAAATCGATCAGCAGCTTACGCTTCACTGAACAATTTCTCCGAAGCCTTAACCGACGCTGAAAAAACCGTCGAGCTGAAACCGGACTGGTCTAAAGGCTACTCTCGGCTCGGCGCTGCTCAATTAGGCCTTAAAAACTATAATGATGCTGTTTTGGCTTATAAAAAGGGTTTAGAAATTGATCCTAATAATGAGGTTTTGAAGTCCGGGCTTGCTGATGCTCAATCAGCCCAGGCTCGAGCCCGATTTAGAGGATCGGGCCCAGGTCCGGCTAGTCCGTTTGGCAATGCGTTCTCCGGGCCGGAGATGTGGGCTAAGTTGACGAGTGATCCGCGTACGCGGGCTTATTTGCAGCAGCCTGATTTTGTTAGAATGATGCAGGATATTCAGAAGAATCCGAATAATTTGAATTTGTATTTGAATGATCAGAGGGTAATGCAGGCGTTTGGGGTTTTGTTAGAGGTGAAATTGGATACGAGGGCGCCGGAGGAGGAGGATGCGGAGATGCCGGAGGCGAAAGCTTCGCCGGAGAGGAAAAGGCCTGCGGAGAGCGAGCCCGTGAAGGAAGAGAAGCGGGCTGCGCCTGGGTTCAGGACCGAACCGCAGCCCGAACCGATGGAGGTGTCCGAGGAGGAGAAGGAGATGAAGGAGAGGAAAGGGCTGGCGCAGAAGGAAAAGGAGGCTGGGAATGCGGCATATAAAAAGAAAGATTTTGAGACGGCAATTCAGCATTATAGTAAGGCAATTGAGCTTGATGATGAGGATATTTCTTTCATTACTAACCGTGCTGCTGTGTACTTGGAGATGGGCAAGGTATATCCACATCTTTAGTATACTAGAGTTTAAGTTTTGTGCACTGAGAGAGCGTACAAAATACACAATTAGGTTACTTATTAGATAATTGTAGGTGAATCTCTTGATAATCATTAATTGGTAATCTGATAAAAATGGCAAATAAGCTGCTATCACAGGTTAAACTTCAATAATAATGTGAAATAATCTTTATACTGTTAGTGTATGTAATTTACATCCATATTATGTTGTATGCCTATAAAGTTGCCTGCTTTTATTCCTTATTTAGTGCATAACATTGACATGCATGAAGAAATTCAACAATTCAAGTGTTAGTGTATCTAGTATAATAACTATTATGCCTCAAATAAACTAGTTAAAGTGGTTTTTCTATGACGATACCTTATGAAGATTCTATCTCTACTCGGGCTTGGAACTAGTAATGTGAGTTCACATAGGATGCTAAGCTCGTATATTTCCAATACTTCTAGGAAAGTTTGGTGCTTTTCTCATTTGTAAAGGAATTGCTGGATAAATGATTATAGTGGTAATGAGTTTGATAGTTTTTTAGCATGGGGCACATTGGTGTTGGAATTTTATGTGAGTATTGAAGAAATGGTTCCATACGATTAGTCAGTTGCCCTTTTTGTATGTTATGTTTTTGTTTTGACTATTAGATTCAGCACCTAATTGACCTAAGGTGATAATGTTGTTTCTTTCTAAATCACCAGTCTTCAAATACTGTTTTAGAAAGAAGAAAAAAATACACCTATCTTCAAATCTAAAGCAGGTAACATGTTTTCTTATTAGGATCTTTTTCTCTGTGTTGCGATGTGTAGTTGCAACTCGTTTGACTTGCATTGCTTGATACTAGTATGTTAAGCAAACATGGTATTGAGTTGCGCTTCCCCAGCCCATCACCCCTCAAGGTCTCTTGCTCCTCTTGTTTCACTATGGCAAGGTTAGCATTTAGAACCTAAATATATCATTCTGCTGATGTGGTGTTGTAATCACCTTCTGTATACTTCTGCGTGGTTTTTCTTTAAGTCATAAATAGTCTATCTGGAGCTCTTCCTTATGTTAGTTTGTCTTAATTTCAGTATGAGGATTGCATGAAAGATTGTGACAAAGCTGTTGAAAGGGGAAGGGAGCTCAGGTCAGACTATAGGATGATTGCAAGAGCTCTCACTCGAAAGGGAACCGCCCTGGTAAAGATGGCAAAAACTTCAAAGGATTATGAACCTGCAATTGAGACTTTCCAGAAAGCTCTTACCGAACACCGTAATCCTGATACACTGAAAAAACTCAATGATGCTGAGAAGGCGAAGAAAGAATTGGAGCAGCAAGAGTATTACGATCCACAAATAGCAGATGAGGAGCGTGAGAAAGGTACCTCTATTGCTGTTACGGCTTCTCTTACTTGTGTTCTTTCTTAATCTGTGAAAATAACTTCTTTGCTTTGATTACAGGTAACCAGTTTTTCAAAGAGCAGAAGTATCCTGATGCAGTTAAGCACTATACAGAATCCTTAAGGAGGAATCCCAAAGATCCAAGGGTATTGCCTCCTTCCATCTTTTGTTCCTCTGTAGAATCTAGTGACTTTGCCCTAAGTTGCGCGGACTCTTCGTTTTTGGTGCCACACCCGTCTCGACACGGGACGGGAGCGGGTGCGGGAGCGGGATAACTTGGGATACTTTGACCTGAGTCCATCGACAAATTTGGGGGCAAATTGAGGTTTTGATTTCTCAAAGTTAAAAATAAGACAGATTTAAGATATGGGAAATGACATACCTTCACTATTGTAGTACTTTTGTCTCATATTTGCTGATTTGTGTTTCACAAAGAATTCAAGGGGTCGTGTTCTGAGTTGGGACTTCTGGTAGACAGTAGCAGCAATATAGATGGAGAGTTGGTGGAAGGCCTTGAATGGCTTTCTTTTTCTCTTTATAGCTTATTTTTTTATAATTTTGAAATCTTTTTAGCCGAACACCCGCACCCGTACCCATACCTGGATCCGCACCCCCGAATCTCAAAATTTAGATTTTGCCGAATCTGACATCCAGATCCGTGCCTGTATCGGATGCCCGCATCCGAATCCGAGCAACTTAGATTGTGCCTATTTCTTGATATAAACTTTTGTTGATGTGTTGCATCTTCTTCTTTATGTTAGGCATACAGCAACAGGGCAGCCTGCTACACAAAATTAGGTGCATTGCCGGAGGGTCTTAAAGATGCAGAAAAATGCATTGAGCTTGATCCAACATTTGCGAAAGGTTACACTAGAAAGGGTGCTGTTCAGTTCTTTATGAAAGAGTATGAAAAAGCCTTGGAAACTTACCAGGAGGGGTTGAAGCATGATGCTCAAAATCAGCAACTTCTAGATGGTGTCAGGAGGTAAAGAAAAATTTCTGTTATTTCCTTTTATCGTCAGTATTGCTTCATTTTAATATTCTTAGCGACCTGTTGAGTTTCTTGTATATTTGATTCTTAGAATAGGACTGCTGTTGGGTGTCAGACTAATACTAATACTTTTAGACACCTGATCATCCTTCGTCCCTCGGATATTCATTCGAGCAAATTAGGCGATGGGAATTTGAATCCAAGACCCTTTCTGGTTATACGCGGAAAGTGGCTTTGAGCCGTGTGCTATGAGTTAATGTAGTAACTTGAAGTGTTGGGTTTTGTTTTGCAGATGTGTAGAGCAAATAAACAAGGCATCACGTGGTGATCTGACTCCAGAGGAGTTCAAAGAGAGACAGGTATAATTTCTTCTCATATTATCTGTTCTTGCTTTAGTTAGAGGCAACTTTTATATGGTGACACTCCTATCAAATTATTTTCCGCAGGCTAAGGCGATGCAGGACCCGGAAATTCAAAACATCCTTACAGATCCAGTAATGAGACAGGTAAGTTTTGGTACATTGGAACATTGGTGGGATTATTGAAGCACGTCGATATTGTAATCTGAATATCGTGTTCTCGAGCAGGTACTAGTTGACTTCCAGGAGAACCCCAAATCTGCACAGGAACATATGAAGAACCCTCTTGTGATGAACAAGATCCAGAAGTTGGTTAGTGCAGGAATTGTTCAAGTCAAATAAATATACAAGGGAAGAAAAGCATGGGTATCGTTGTTTGATATGGTCTGTCTATTGAAGGGAAATCGCGCTTGAAACATTTTTTTTTTCTTTTTAGGAATTGGATGTGATGTTGCATATAGTCTTCTTTCTCTGGCTTTCCAGTTTTTGGTGTTAAGCAAATGCGTCAAAAAAATTGTTTCTGGATATTGCAATTCGTCTCTATAGGAGATGTTACTAACTTATAGTTCTGTTCTTTTAGCAACATGCAATGTATGAGAAAAGGGTACTACAATAGTATAGATTATGCCAAGTAATTACGTTGAAACTTGCGGTTCTAATAGACGAAAACTGCATTTTGTGATATAACTTATGTACTCTAACAAAGAAAATATCGAGACTTTATTATTATAGTGGGTTAAAGCTCTGTTACTCTTCACTTTAGTAAGATAACTTAGTTCAGAGTTACTGTTGTAGTGAATAATGTGAAATTAATGACATTCTGAGCTCTTCACTTTCAAGAAGAGAGGGTTGTGACTTGTGGAATTTCTGCTTAGCCTGCTAGTAGAAAAGAAGTCTTAATTTTTATACACTAACAATACAAAACGATCTGTTAGACTTATAAGATTGCACGTAACCGTCCATAAGTGGGAAAAATAAGGAAGGTAACATGCTACAATGTCAATAGGAATATGGTACACATGATACACTCATTATATAGAGAATTCGTTACATTGTCATTGTAGAAAGCTAAATCTATATTCATATGATAGGAAGTCGAAGCAGTGCTTTGCCATAACCTCTGCAGCTCTTTTTACATACATCAACACAAACATGGTACACATAGAAATCATTTTTCTCATTGTTACATTCATTTTCAAGAATGCAACTTTTAATGCACCCTCTCTCCTCCTCAATCTCAATATTCATCACTTCTTCATGATCATTCGTAGAAGAAGAAGACGGGTAATTTGTTTCGTGCGTTATTCTATCGCTAATTTCTGGCACTGCAAGTGAAGAAACACTAAGTAGAAGCATACAGATGAACATAAAAGAGAAAAAAGCAGTGAGATTCTGCCTTTTGTTCATCATTTTGCACCAATAAGTTTATTGAACTTGCACTATGGATGATAATTTAAGTGTAATTTTGATGTGTATTTATACTAGAAACTTTAACATAGCTGGAAATTGGGTTTCTAGAATAACAAATAATCCAATAATCAAGCAAATGATTTGTCAAAGATATTGTGATTAAACAAGTTAAATGATTCAGAGATTAGCAGATTGGATCATGCTACTGCAAATTAAAGATGTAGCCATTAAATGTTAGCTGACTTTTATTCATGTGGTACTTTAGTATAAGCATTACTTCTTCTTCACCTATTTTGGTTCTCAGTGCCAGCTAGAACAGCCAGATAAGATGTGCCTTCATTTGTACTTGTAAAAAGTGAAAAGATAACTTAGAAAAGACAAAAACAAAAAACAAAAAAAAAGGTGTAGTCCCAAGTTTTTGATTCAACATCAAAGATAGTATAACACGAAATGTATGGCAGGCGTACGTCACGAGTTCAAAGCTTGATGATTACTCCAGGTCCACTATTTGAGTAAAAGAAGTATAAAGAGACGGATCCATTATGTCATAATAGTTGTTTATTATGTTGTATTATTGAAGCCGCATTTGGATAGACTATTATTTGTTATTGTTAAATACTACCTCCGTTTCAGTTTATGTGAACCTATTTTCTTTTTGGTCTGTTCCAAAAAGAATGACCCCTTTCTAAATTTGGAAACAATTTAGCTTAAACTTACAATTCTACCCTTAATGAGAAGCTTTCATAACCACACAAATATTCCGGGCCCTTTTTTGATTTCTTTAGGACCACAAATTTTAAAAGTCTTCCTTTTTTTCTTAAACTATGTGCCCAGTCAAACAGGTTCACATAAATTGGAACGGAGGGAGTACCATTTTTCTTCATCGGTTAAAATACCAATTAATCTAAATATTGTATTTGTGAGTTCAATTCTTTTCTTCTTCTTTTTTTTTTTTTTAAAAAAGGAGAGAATTACAAAAGAGGTAGTAAAGTGGCTAGAAAGAGGAATACCTGCATATATGGAAGGAAGGCGTATTGACGAAAAGTGAGGTGTTTAAACTTTAAAGTATATTGAATACAAATATATAAGGGATGAAATTAAAAAAGAAAAATAGAGTAAAGGGTAAATGGGAAAAAATAATTGTGACAATCCTACCACACTAAATTGGTAATTACTTAGAATGAGTCTAGTTATTGTTATATAACAAATATTGTACTTTAATTTAACAAAACAATATAACATGATACAATATAAACACACAATTCAAACAGTTACAAAACCAAAAATCTTAAAACATATGAGATATCTCGGTCAATAATAAGTTTATTCAATTTCGTATTCCACAGAATTTCATAACAAATTATTTCCTATATTTTATACAGCTTCATTAATTTCTTAAGCTAACACATGTTAACAAGTCCAAAGACGGATACAAGATTTAAACTCTATGGGTTCAACTTTTATATTATAACATTAAACTCATTATATTTTTAAAAAGTTATGGATTCATATCGTCTATTTATTACAATTTTAGTAACTTTTACACATAAATTTATGCTCTGCGCCGAAAGTATCGGGTTCAGATGAACCCGGCATCAATATGCTACATCCACTTCTATTAGTAACATAGAAAATTATTCATATGTATGAATGATAACAAATTCCCCTGATAGTCAAATAAAAAAGGTAGCCCAGTACATAAGGTATTCCGCGTTCATGTAGGGTTCGGGAAATGGCACATCAAGGGATGTTACGTAGACATCCTATCTTAATGTAAGTATTATTGGCTACTTTCACGATCCAAACACGTGACCTTAGGTTACACGGAAAGAATTTTACCGTTGCTCAAGATTCACGCCTTGATAGTCAAATAGATCTTTTAAAATATCAACTGGTTTTCTATTCAGCTTGAAAAGAGATCAAATGACAACTCAAGAATTAACTAACCCTCATTTAAGACTCTGTAAACTACCAATTTAATAATGTGAGTTCTCAATTTGTTAAATGCAAATAAAGCACAATGAAAAAAAAAATATATATATATATATATATATANTTAGTAGATAACCATCAACTACAACTAGATCCATCATCCACGCCATGTATGTAGAGTCAAATTAAATTTTTAAAATAAAATTTACACATCTTAAAACTACATAAAAAATACTAATAATAGTTAATAATTCAAATATTCAAAAAGAGTTTGAGAAAATCTTTGTTAAAGAAAAAACAGTTTGACTCCCTAAATAATAACACATTCATAAACTAGGACAGAGGGACTCGTTGTTAGTTTTCTTTAGCTTTCATGTTGGTTATATATGAACGCATTTAACTTATATATATAATACGAATATTGACACTATCACTATATTTTAACCTACTGTAATAAATAATGTGCCTTATTTTTAATTAGGTTATTAACTTAATTTTGTATGAACGATCACTTGTAGTTATCTCTTAGATAACATGATATTGTAAATATTCTTTTACACTATTAGCATATACAATTAAACTCATATGAAATTAGGTTTCTAATTTTGTAGATAAGGAGTACAATTTTGTAATAATGTTTTAGTTCATTTAAAACTTTGAATATATGAAATTTTAGAGAAAATTAAGGGACCAAGAGAGAAGAAGAAGAAGGGTTGAAACCGAGGCTTATGTGAGGTTGAGTTGGAGTAGATATGACACGAAGTAGCCACTCAAAAGGGTTGTTATTTAAGAATTAGTCAATATGTCCTAATTTTCAATTTTTCAGCTTAAGTTTTTAGGACATAAATGTCCTAAATTTTTCTGAAATTAAGATTTTTAGTTCAAATTTTCAGGATAAAATAAGTATTGACTAATTTTTAAATAGCAACCATAATAATGGCTATTTGTGCACCTCCCCCGAGTTTGGATGAGAAATTTGCTGGCCCATCTCTTGGAGGCCATCCAACACTAATGGGCCTTTAAAAGGAAAACAAAGAGGAGAAATTTAAAAATAGTCAAATTTACAAGTGGTAATTGAAAAATAGCCACAGTTTCAAAAGTAATCGAAATTTAACTATTTTTCATGTAAAGATAAATCTGAACGAAAACACTATTCAAAATCCAAAAAATCTTCCAGCATAATATACTAGAGTTCCAGTATAATGTACCGGTCCAGCATAATATGCTGGAAGTTCATAAACATGTGCTCCAATCTCCAGTATATTATGTTGGAATTTTCCGCGTGTTGGAGTTCCAGCATAATATACTGAAAGTTCATACACAGGTGCACTAATTTCCAGTATATTATACTGGATCGGTCCGTATTGCAGCAAAATAGTGGCTATTTTTCAATGACTTTGCAAACGGTGGCTATTTTTAAATTACCAGTCCGAAAATTGGCTAGCCCTGCTATGTTTACAAAACAAAGGAACACTAGCAGCTTGGAAATGAGAAATGTATATTTGTAGTCGCTCTAAAAAATAATAATCGACATAATATATTTTTTGGTAAATTATGTGTATTATGTACAAAACAATACACATATTTTATACACTTTTCGGCTAACGAATGGAATTAGTTTGAGTTGACCGACCAATTTTATGTTTTGCCTGAGGAAATTGTATGTAACTTGATCCCGCATACTGTCACACCCCTTTTGTACTCCCCTCCCCCNGTGTAAGAAATTCTGTTAACCGGGGAGAAGGTGTAAGGCATTCCCCAAGTCCCGTGGTTCTAGCACGGTCGCTTTATTGACAACATTTGGCTTAAATTAATTTTACATAAACTGTGATTTATTGGTTTCCATGCTTTATCTATCCGCTTTTAATTATTAAAATATGAAATTATCTTTGAAACGAATCACGCGTGTGAATCCATTTTGTTTATTGTGCCAAAATCATGTCACGCGTACGTGTACACAATTAATAATATTTTATTATGTTAAGATTGTTTTGACCAAAGTTGGGCGAACACATACTTTGGTTTTAATTTTGAAAATTACAATTATGCCACGCGAAGGTATACATAATAAACTAATTAAAAGCGCGCCTAAAGCACTCTAACGATGTTCATTATTTTTCCTAAACTTTGAGATTATTGTGAGGTCATGAATTATGGAATTACTTGTGGAAGAAGTGTATGATTTTAGATATTTGAATAAATAAACTAGCATATATCAATACTCTATAGCCCAGCAATTGAAGCCCAAACTTATTAGGGTCCAAATCTTTCTAACTTTAAAGCAAGCTTGAATACCATATTTCTAGAAACATAATTAAGCATATAACTTTTAAGGACTAATTTACATTATTATTTATAAAATTTAAAAGTAAATAAATAAAATCACATG